CGATCACACCTATCGTCGAGAGCAAGGCCGTGGCGAAGCCGTGATCGAGACAAGTTAAGGGAACGCAACACCCGATCCGTCATCAGGCCGCCTCAACGCGCACCGCCCTTTCGCGTTGCCTAATCCTTGTCGCGTGCGGCTTCGTGCGCGCGCACCTCGCACGCGTCACACGTCGCCATTGTCTCATCTAGTCCCGTACGGACTTGGCCTCGCACGCCTGTTTCCCAATCGCGCGCCAACACGCTCGCCCAGCTACCGCCACCTTCCTCATGCGCGTGCGCCCCATCGCTCGGCACTCCTAAGCCCGCAAGGTTTAGGCCTTGCGCATGTGTGCCCCAATGGCGCGCTCTCGTTCGTGCGCCCTCACCGCTGGCTTGTTCGCGCGCGTCCTCGCCACTTGCGCGGTTGCTGCCCACGCTCGATGCCCCCACATCCTTCACGCGCTCGCCTGCCCGCTTGCGCGTACCATCGACGCCCATGTCCCGATCGCCTACCGTGCTCCCGCATACACCCGTGGTTCCACGCGTATCGCCGACCCACGCAGCTTGCCTACCTCCTGCGCACGATCGCGCGTCACTTGCGTCCAACATCTCGGCGCCGCTTCTCCGTTCAACTCCTCGACCCTTCAACCTCTTGCGCGCATCATGGCACGATGCGCGCCATACGCCCGATAGCCAGTCCTCATCGATTCCTTTGTCGCCCGACTCCATTGGTTCTCCCGACGGCCATGGATCCCAACCATCCAACCCAATGCAGTCACCTGCACGCCATATCCAACCATTTTCCGTTCCTAGCCTTCCCCGTCTTTGAAACTCTGAACGCCACGCCCGTTTCTTCCTATTGCACGACCCACAACATTGGCTTGCCTTTTGCGCCTTTGTTTTGCGTCGTCTTTTGGCCTGACGCTTCTTGACCTTCAACTTAGCCTGTGGACCACATCCTTTTGGCCAGTCTCTCTTGCATGATGTTCGATATATCGGGCTCGATGGCTCCTCCAACATGTTCTCCAGCCATATATCGAGACCATCGTCACCTTCCTCGTCGGACTCGCCTGGGTTGATGACCACTTCCGTATCATTCCCCTCCTCTTCGAGACTTTCCTTGTCCTCAAGGATTAAAAAATTAAGTGCACCATCATCTTCATGGTTTTGAACTTCACCCTCCATTGCTCCTCGGCCTTCTACGAGTTGTCGCTCGTACTCTTCTCGATTTGTTTGCTCATGGAGTTCGTCTAGATACGTGCTTTCCCATGGGGGTAAGTTCTCTCTCCAAACTCTCCAACAATTCGAGATCTTCCCAATCCATCTCGTCCATTGGCACATAAGACATTTTTTTTTTACTCTAAAAATAATTCGAACAAAAGTCGAACCAAAAAATAAAACAAAAGAAATTCGGCCCCTCAACAAAAGGTCATAACCGAACAAAAATCAAATAAAGGAATAGATGACACTTTTTTTTTTGATACTCATGAAATTTTTTGAAAATTTGGGGAGAAAATTCGAAAAATTCGAACAAAAAAGAAACCAAAAAATTCGAACAAAAAGAAAAAGAATGGGATAGGAAAAGTTAACGAACACACAATCGATCACTCTCAATGAAAGCACCAATGATGAAGGATCGTGTGTTGCGTTACCCTCGACTTGTCTCGATCACGGCTTCGCCACGGCCTTGCTCTCGACGATAGGTGTGATCGACTCGGTTATTAGCCTAACTCTCTCACGATACTTGAGTTCACTTGGGTCTTAGCCTTGCTCACTCTTTTGAACTAGATCGGGTCTTAGCCTCTCTAACTCGGTTGAACTGGCTTGGGTCTTAGCCTCACCAATTCGGTTGCATGATCGAACTCTCACGAATCCTAACACACGGTTTCGAACAAACGCTCTTTTCTATTCAACTCATCAATTCTCGACCATTAAAACAATGAGGGATCATCCCTATTTATAGATCATAACTATGACTAATTCTAATCTACCTAGGAAACATATTAAAGCAATAAAATATTAAATTCCTAAACAATCTAGATATTATTGTGCAAGAAGGAAACTAAATATCTAGAGTCCTAAATTGACTAGATCTTGATCTTGCTTGGCTTGCACTCAAAACAATTCCAATCCACATGCCCATGTATTTGTTCGGCCGCCTCAACGCGCACCGCCCTTTTGCGTTGCCTAATCCTTGTCGCGCGCGCCTTCGTGCGCGCGCGCCTCGCACGCGTCACACGTCGCCATGGTCTCGCCTAGTCCCGTACGGACTAGGCCTCGCGCGCCTGTTTCCCAATCACGCGCCAACGCGCTCGCCCAGCTACCGCTGCCTGCCTCATGCGCGTGCGCCCCATCGCTCGGCACTCCTAAGCCCGCAAGGTTTAGGCCTTGCGCATGTGCACCCCAATCGTGCGCTCTCGTTCGTGCGCCCTCACCGCTGGCCTGTTCGCGCGCGTCCTCGCCACTTGCGCGGTTCCTGCCCACGCTAGATGCCCCCACATCCTTCTCACGCTCGCCTGCCCGCTTGCGCATACCATCGACGCCCATGTCTCGATCGCCTACCGTGCTCTCGCGTACACCCACGGTTCCACGCGTATCGCCGACCCCCGCAGCTTGCCTACCTCCTGCGCACGATCGCGCGTCACTTGCGTCCAACATCTCGGCGCCGCTTCTCCGTTCAATGCCTCGACCCTTCAACCTCTTGCGCGCATCATGGCACGATGCACGCCATACGCCCGATAGCCGGTCCTCATCGATCCCTTTGTCGCCCGACTCCATTGGTTCTCCCGACGGCCATGGATCCCAACCATACAACCCAATGCAGTCACCTGCATGCCATATCCAGCCATCTTCCGTTTCTAGCCTTCCCCGTCTTCGAAACTCTAAACGACACGCCCGTTTCTTCCCAGTGCACGGCCCACAACATTGGCTTGCCTTTTGCGCTTTTGTTTTGCATCGTCTTTTGGCCCAGCGCTTCTTAACCTTCAACTTAGCCCGTGGACCACATCCTTTTGGCCAGTCTCTCTTGCATGATGTTCGATATATCAGGCTCGATGGCTCCTCCAACATGTTCTCCAGCAATATATCGAGACCATCGTCACCTTCCTCGTCGGACTCGCCTGGTCTGATGACCACTTCCGTATCAGCCTGCCAGCACGCATGATGCGGAAGTGGGTTTCGAGCCCCGACGACAAGAAGGGCCAAGAGCCGAGACAACTCGATGAGGCCGGAAAAAGAGCCAAAACGATGCATGCATGGCCTAAGAGACAGGTACGAGCCCATATGCGAGGTCGCGCATGGAGATACGCAAAGGTACGCAAGCAGATGGTCCATAGGCGTACGACGTTTGGGCGCAAGAAAGGGCACATTCAAGAAGGGCGCGAACACGCACATTGGAGTAGACGAGCACGGATGAGTCCGCGACTCAAGAGGACGTGTCGTCGATGGTTTCGGGATGCTTATCGAAGATATGAAACCTGGTGGGGGTGGCTAAAATACCAAGTGGCCCGAAGGAATGGAAGTCACGCTAGTCGGGTGCCCAACGGGCACTATGCACGCACATGGGCGCGCAGTACGCGCGCAGGTGCCCAGTGGTGCATGGGGCCACGCGTAGACAGACGCACGTGCAGGCAGCCCACGGGAAGTTCGGGCACGCACAGG